AATGAAAAATGGCCTTTTGAGAAAGTGGACCATCTATATCTGAAAAATGACTTGATTTCAAGAAGTTTTTAGATTTGCGTTTTTTTTTAGTTGCAAAGTCGACTCAAACATTACGATGCTTTTATCGAAATTTCTCAAGCCCATTTGAGCGACAGAATTCGTTTAGGCATCGCTGGATAGAGAATTGAAAATTCGATTGAGTCATAGCAAGATGAGTGAGGAAATTCTAGTAGTTTTGGCCCAGAAAGCGAAATTTGTATATCATATATTCAGCAGCGGTAGATCCAGCTTTCCAGCGTAGAAATTTAGCCTTCTTTTGTCTATGAAATTAGGAAAATTGTCCTTACTCGAGATAAACCCGGTACAAAAAGGAGGTCATGACCCCCATGACCCTCCCCCTGAATCCACCTTTGTCTTTCAAGTTATTTACATTGGTCTTACTATAGCTAGATGCATGCTATCAAACCACTTACGTTTTTTAAATGTTTTTATTTGCAAATATTTCTGATTCATTTTTATAAACTTTATTGGCCCTGTGTGAACACCCTCTGCTTTAACAATCTTGACCGCGATAAAACCAAAGTGGTAAAGATAAGAGGGGTTGAAAATTACGGTTATGAAATGTGACGCGTGTCCAATGGTGATGATGAAAAGAGATAGTTAAATGAGTTACAGCTTTTTGATGACTATTGTAAAGAAACAGTCACGTTAGGTTGTTAAAAAGGGACTATCAAAAAGTGGCCATAAAATCGCTACTGCATTTAACGCGCCTGTTTTAGTACAAGCTGAAATTTACAATCGTCATTCGCAAATTATCATAGAGAATAAAATCGTGCATGGGCTGTTGATCAATACAAGTCAACTGGAATTAAAATAAATTAGTTGACCTCACAAATGCATATGAGGGTAAAAAGTGGATACAATGGGATGAACTCCAAATCAGGAACTATTTTTTGTTAGTTCAGCACCTTTTGCTTGTTTGACCATCCGTATTAGATCTGCGCAGACTTGCCCCATGGCTGGTTGCGGACTCTGAAAAAAGCACAAATTTTATTAGTTTTTTATTATTTTATTAGTATTTATTTAATTAAATGAGACTAGTGATGATGAAAGCAAGACCAAGATCAAGATTTGCTTGGTCTTTGACTTTATCTTGAATGTGAAGTCTTTGTCTTGTTTTTTTTTGCTGCAGAAAGACCAAGACCGGTCAAGTTTATGGCAAATTTAGAAACATTGCAAGATTATCCAAGTCCATACAAACATTCAGAATTATGATAAGTGAACAATGCCGTTATCACTGACAATATCTATATGTAGGGTATTATGGGACATTTCTCATGGCGAATGCTAATGCGAAAAGGTAAAGGGATAAGGGAAAATGCGTTATGAAATCACGGCTATGTGACAAATAACGGTTGACCCGTAAACATTCGATGTATAATTTGGTCAGATAGAGTCCGCAAGGCACGCGACTCCCTTTAGTTATTATTTTTACAGGGTGCAATAAGCATAAACCTTTTTTACCTAATCGTTTCGAGAAATCCTTTGAAATTTTAGTGGCTTGTTTATTACACAAAATCGTATCGTAGCAAAAATATCTGGGTAGTCACTACATGTAAAAACCTTCATTCCCTGCGAAATGTTTGCTTTCCTGCACAATCTCAATGGTTTTTATTACAAATAAAAAAAATAAAAATCCTAAAATCTCTAAGTACTAAAGGTTTAAAATCCAGTTACGAATTTAAATATGATAACGCAGAAAACCCTTTCAAAAACTGACAAAATCAATGAAACAAGTTTTATGTAATGAAGTGTGTATGTAATTAGGTAAATAAGACCAACTACTTTCGAAAATTACGTCATCATCAGGCCGCTAAAAACCTCAAAGTAAAAGTAAGTAAGTAAAGTAAGTACCCTGGAAGATATTGTGCAGATAAAACTAATAAGCAAAAGAAAACAAAACAAAACTTACTCGTCAAAACAGAATCAAGCAAAACCCAAGAGCAGTAACGAACCAAACATGTCAAGCAATGATAAAAACAGCCGAAAATGGGTAAAAACTGGTTAAAACGGTCTAAAATGGTCAAACCTGCACATACCAAAGTTAAATTTAAAATTATAACAAAAACAATTAAAATTAAATTAAATGAAAAGAACTTGACTAGTCGGCCATTATCCAGCTTTTATCAGTACGAGGAATAGTCTGATAAAGCTGGCCCAAGAACAGCGGGCAGAAACTTTCACATTTCATTGACAAAGAGGAGATTCTCTCCTTTTCCAACCGTGCAAAATACTGTACAAATTCCCTCTCAATATAGAAAAAGTTCAACATTTCAAATATTTGACCAAAGTAATAAATGAAACTGTTGAACAACTATAAAACAAAATCTAGAATTGAAACAGCTAGAAACATTTTCATGAGGCTGAAGATATTCTTATGCAGCAGATAACTTCCTGTTAAGAACAAGAATGTTACGATGTTATGTGTTTTCAACTTAATTGTATGTGACACTTAAACCGAAATAATCCATCGTATAAACAAAAAACAAGAAATATATAAGACACTGAAGATTAAGAACATCATGGATGGAAAGTTCAGGAAAAACGAAGTTAGTAAAGAAGAACCTCCTGGCTGGAAAACCTCAGGGTATTGTTTGAAATGTCATCGAACGAACTATTCAGGGTGCCCGCCAATAGGATAAGAATAAGCATGACAGATTTTGAAATACTCTCGTATAATGCCGGTAGACGTCTGCAATTTTACAAAAAAAAATTATCACATTTTCTTCTTCCTATTTTGCATTCCGTTATCCGTTCAGTTCCGAATATCTCCGAGGACCTCTTCTAATGATTCGGATCTTTAAAACAAACCGAATTTTTAAAATGACCCGACTAGCCCACCACTAGTCATAACAATTTATGGGACACGGCACAGGCGCGCTGATTATTTAAACGGTCGATGACGTCACGGCCTTCGGCACGCTCGGATTGCTGTTCCAATCAAGATGGCCGACTGCTGTATTTTTTACTTATATTATCTTAAAAATCTTATTGACCCCAATACTTATATTAATAATGTGCCACTTTTTAAAATCATTTCAACATATACTTTCCTTTAAAACCATTTATTATTTGATTCTTTTATACTGCCATCATGCCTATTATAGTGTTGATGTCCAACCTCCGATAGGAAACGGAACAAGAATAAGAAGAATTTGCCTAAGAACATTTGATTAGGCTCAAGATAGATCCAACATTCAAATTACAATAGCACTTAAAATGACTGAAAATTCAAAAAAATATATATATTTTAAATTTTCTTGTCAGATTTTCAATTTGAATACGAGGGAATCTTGGAAATTGGACTGCAAAAAATATATATCGGGCGGTCCAATAAAGTGTATTAAGAATCTGAATATCTATGGGAAAGTTGCTAGTAAACTTTCAGGAAATATTGCTATTCATGTTTCACACTGTAGACGAATTTCCTGGAAGAGCCGCGTGACCGGCGTTTTATGACTGATGACCGACTTCCACGCCCCCTGGTCGACGATCACGACACAGGCCCATCGATTCGCCCGATAAGCCCTGACACGAAAAAATAATATAATGTCCTGAGCGCCAGATTTATATTACATTTTTATAGGGGCAATATAATTTTTAAAAGGCTATTTAGGAAAATTCACTTAATGGGGGATCGGTATGGGAAAATGTGTTGCGGCCAGTGTTCGGTGTTCGCATGGTCTAACCCGCCCAAATTAATAGCCAAAAATTGAAAAACGATATACGAGAATTAAGGGATTTAGCTGCAAATATAACTCAGAACCCCCTTCACTGAGTCGAACTTGAATTTGGAAATAGAGTTAGTTTTATCGCAAAAATCTGTTCTCGATGTTGCACATTGGATGTTTCAACGATAAGTGGGGCTTGGAAATGGAACAAGTAACACCCAACGTTTTCCGGATATGTATTATTCTCTGCTCAATCAACTTTCACTTAGAGTGGTGGCCCAAACCGTCATAATCATCACCATAATGCAACAGAAAACCCAAAATTAGTGAGGTCAGTTAATACTAATCAGGGAGGTGATATTATAGTTGGACCACATTTCTTTGAAGGACACTTGAATGGTGCCGCATATTTGTATTTTTTCCGAAGTTTTGCGAAACATTGTTCATTTAAAGCAATTTATCGCTTCAACATGACGGTGCTCTGGCGCACTTCACGTTAATTGTCGGTCATTATTTTAATCGAGAATTTGAAGATAGATGGATGTACATATTTGGAAAGCATTGTATATCAAACTGATTCGACTACTGCAGAAGACATTATAATGTTAAGTTGTTTATTTAATGAATCTTTTGATGATCGACATGTACCCAATTGACTTGATCAAAGTAAAAAAGTAAAAATAACTTTGATCAAAACGTAAAACTGCGACACGGTAAAATTTAAGATTAGCACACCTTATATAAACTAGCCTTAAAATTTTACAGTGATGTCGAAAATGTGATGGTGCTCATTGGGCGGCTTATGGGGAACTTTTCGTAAATTAACAAATGTCAGCACGTAGCTTGTGTGCACGAAGTCCTCTTAGAGGTCTAGAAGTCCGATTTCGAAATTCGCAAGTGTCTAAAGTTTCATCTTTTTTCGAATGATGCGAAAACCGTAAATTATTCAGGTAAAACATTTGAAACTTAAAGTTAAAAATTAAATTATAAAAAAAACTAAATTAAAATTTGGCGATAAATCCGAAAATAGTAAAAAAGATAGTTTCAATTTTAAGACCATAGTTGGTAACTGATCACGTTTATGAAGAAAAACGTTGGTAGGAAGTTCTTCTTCAGTTCAGGTAGAAAGTTCATATTAACTGAAATATCGCACTTTGCCGAAATGAATGACGTATGAAAAATTGAGCTTATATGAATCGGCAAATGTTAAGCAAATTGTGTTAAAACATTTGTGAAAACTGCAGTTACCGAAAATATAAAGTATTTCTCTCTTTTACCAATGTCTTAAACAGATCAACAAACACCACAGAATAAATCTGAAGCATTTTGTGTGTTGATTCAATTTTCTATTTTAACTTCTTCTTATTCAATAATAGTATCAGTAAACAGGTTTTGTCTTATTTTCAACTAAGTTTAAATTGAATGTGCGATTTTTTTGCAAACAATCATCTGACCAACCAAGAGTGCTAGTTTTAGACTAGAAAAGTTTAGTCAGTGACTAGATGCATAAAAAACATGAGCCAGAATATCGATGTCCCGTGACGTCAGAGGAACAGATTGAAGAGTGCCGGGAGAGACGAGACGGTTGCTATAGCAACGGCCATCACCAAAGAGCTCAGACTCGTCGGGAACGCTTCGTATCCTGCTGGATCTCGGTTGTGTCGATAAGTCGAGGCCGCCTTCCTGTTCGATGGCAAAACGGGATCGCGTCATCTGCAAATGAACTAAACAAATGAATCCTCTTTTTTTAATTTTTATTTCACGTTCGGAACAAACCGTTGATGGAGATATAACTCCAAAAGTATCTATTCTGGACTGTTAACTACAATTATTTGATTTTCATATGATTTATATTTCAGATTTTTTATCTCAACGGATTATCTATGACCTAAGAAGCCTTCAAACGTAAATTTGTACGTTTTTTGACATATAATATGGAATTTACCGTCGTAAAGAAAAATAATACCTAGTTCAAAAACCGCTTTAAATACGGTAAAAATATCTGTTGATTTAGATCTGCAGCATCCAATGCGTTTTTCCAAGGGTTGTTGAATTTCCCGCGTCCTGGGGATTATATTTTTTGAGGCAAATTGACCTCTACTTTTATGAAAATATTGACTAAATTGGGATGTGTATTTGTAATTGGATGTGTATTTGCAAAAGAAGCTTCTGTATGTGCATATATAAAGTGTTTTTATATACAGCCTGTTTGGAAAGTAGATGCATTCCTTGTAGGAAGTGATAGTACACGTAGTTTTGGATATATTTCTTTCGTAGACCATATTCCAAAAACTCTTAGTCTCCGATCTACAGCGTGTTAAAGAATTAATTAAAAAAACGAGATTTTTTAGTATTGCGGAAACCCCTTGGAATATTTTAACGGAATTTTATGGACTTAGGCACTTAACAGCAATACATGTTATGTGATAAAAAAATTGATTTTAGCTTTGCCATTAGCGTGGGCACAGGCACGTCTCTAGATAATTTTAAATAAACAAATGTTACGCCACTAATTTTTCTAAAAATAAATATTATTTTTCAAGTTCCTGTTCAATTTTGAAGAGAATGGGTCTCTTGGCTTTTTTTTCTACAGCGAACCGTGTTTGAGTAAACATATTAAAATCGATTTATTTTCCAGCAAATTCAAATTCAAATTCAAAATTTATTAAAAATATATATGTAAACAGAAAATTATTTGTCAATTTACAATTCATATAATGTAAAAATTATTCGTTGAGTACCTAGATACCTTGTACCTGTAAGTACTCTTGAGGTAACTATTTTTTTTTATATCAGTAATCATATTTTTATTTTCTGTCCTGGTTTAACAGAAATCCACATAGCATACCATAGATGTATATTCTTACCTAAAACTAGCAACTCAAAACATTTTCCCGAGAACTCAACTTTTGAGAAAGTATCTGAACAAATGTGTTCCTGTGTATAGTAATATATTCTCTGGATTTTTTATTAAACAAATTGAAGTTATTTATTGACCTTATTATACTTGGCAATAAATTATACAATTTTGGGGCTACATAATTAAGAAACTTAAGATGAATTGTTCGATTATTTTTTTCAGGTAGAGCAAGAAAGTTGTTAGATATTTATCTTGTGCTGTGGTTATGTTTTACATATGTTTGAGTATTTTTATTCTTATGGGTAAATGAGCATGCTGAATGTATGTATAGCAATGATATGTCTCTAATTTCTTTGTTATACAACTCTCTAGTAGGATATAGTTTGTCCTTTCTGTAAATTATTCTTAAAATATAATTTTGAACAACTTTTAATGGTCTTAAATAAGATTTTAGCGTAATCGGGTTTTTATTTAAAAAGTTGACTATGCACTAGTTATGGTCACCGATTGAAAAAATTAACAATTGCAGTCATTTCGAGTATCTGAGTAACTTTTTTCTTGTAGTAAAAATGGTACGATCTAAGTGCACAATTGTAGTTTTTATACTAAACCCTACTTAATTTCAACCCGATTAAGCTATACAATAAATGGATTTTAATTTATTTACTCGAAAACGGGACGTCGTAGAAAAAAAAACAAAATACCTTTTCTCTTCCAGATTGAAGAGGAATTTGAATCATCAGGTTGCTTACAAAATTAGTGGTGTAACATTTAAATTTAAAATTATCTACAGTCGTACCTGTGCCCCCGCAACTGGAAAAGCTAGAAAGAAAATTTTCATCGCAAAACATGTATTGTTGTTAAGCGGTTTCCGATATTAATAAATAACATTTTTTTTATTAAAACTTTATCACCCTGTAGATCGGAAACTAAGCGTTTTCGGAACACGTTTAGAAATGTCAATTATTTCGGAACTCAAGCTTCTAGAATATTTTTCCATTAGTTGGTTGGATGTCTAGATTTCTTGAGATGAAAATAATGTAGAATCCGAAGTATTCTGAGAAAGTTAATATTTTTTTAGGTAAATCGACCTCCTCGCTTAAAAATTTTGGTCAAAAATCTAAATCTAGCATGTGTGTTTTTTGAGCTCAATGGATTGTTTCCTGCTTAAGAAGCTCCTTCCTTAAAGCGCATAGATTAAGTAGATGGGTTTATAGTAAGGAAGATATCGTAGGTTAAAGATATCGTAGGTTAAAGATCGGAACGCCCACAAAAGGCTTGAAATGAGCTGAAACTGTGAATTATTTCGCATCGACAAAGTTTTTCAAATAGTTTGTTCGATGTCGCGCTTCTTCGGGATGCAAACGGTGTAGAATTTTAAGTGTTTTGAGAAACTTGATGTTTCCTGAACAAAATCGACTTCAACTTTTTTGGAAATTTTAGTCAAAAATCTATATTTTGCATGCACGTTTTTTGAACACAATGGATTGTTTTCCATTTAAGGAATTTCTTAATGTACATGTAGAATGTTTTTGGGTATATAATAAGAATGATATAGTCCAAAATATTAAGAACAGTATATCAAGCATTTTTATCATAGGTACGTTTGGTAAAGTACGTTGAGTTATTTAAAAACTAAATCATTTAAACAATAGAGGCCGAAACGGAAACATAACTACCATTTGAATATAAAAATTTGTAAAAATGAGAAAAAGTAGTTCGCTGCGGACAGGATTCGAACCTGTGCGGGCAGAACCCAATGGATTTCAAGTCCATCTCCTTAACCACTCGGACACCGCAGCAGATAAAACCTAAGGACAACATACATGCAGAAAAAGTTGGGCTTTCATTATTCTTGAATTTACCATTTAATTTATTTCATTTTTATTTACCTTCAATTGACGACCAACTATTACAATAACCACAGTAATTTTAAATTAGCAAGCTGTTGACTAAATAAAGCAATCATCGTGATATCTGTTGAGAGACTACGTCAATGAAAATAGATCGGTATAAGCGTGATCTGTACAGAGTTCCTGAAGCAGAGTTGCCAGTTTTCATGTTATGCCATATGTCAATATATTAACATAACAAATGTGAAAGTTTGGAGTATTGAAAAGGAGTTTCAAACGGATAAGGTATGAGTGACTGTGTTATAAATATAGGAACAAAACCAAAATTTGTTCGAATTGATATTTAGCTGATTTGAGAAAATACTTTATTTTAGACTAGCTAAATCGGATAAGGAACAAAACGTTCAAAAAGGCGCATGTTACTATATATTTTCTTATTAGGTGGATATAGAAGTTTTTTTAAGCTTCCGGTTAGAAAAGTAAAATAAGTTTTTCAAGCAGTGAGCAAATGTCAAATACATTTTTTTTTAATAATTAAAGCAATAAAACAATTTACTTAATCTCCTTTATTGCCATCTTTGAAGGACAATATCTCCTTAATAGTTCACTGGTGACTTAACTTTTCATTCCTACAATTTTTTTAACACCCTGTATTACGCCGTCATATAACTTTAATTACAACTCCAATTGTACAAATGTGTATTCAGCAGAATAAAAAAAATTATTAGTCCCCCAAAAAGTAGAGGAACAGTGCTCTTACCCCGTCAGAGTCTTTGTTCTAGAATCAGCAAATAGAGGCCCGCACAGTCGTAACACCAATGACAACCATGACGTAAACAAGGTTGACAGGAATAAACCCAAAAGCAATCGGTTCAGATTGTTTATAAATTTCGTTTATGCTAGTGAGCTCTGATTAAAAAAATGTTTGCGTGCAGTGAGTGATTATGTGCCTGCATATACTAATCCATTTGATAATCTGTGCCCATCATATCTGAACAGTACAGTGGAATCATTTAACTGTGGGATTTACTTAATGCTGGATTCATCAGTAAGCCGTAAGATCTTTTATTACTAATGAACCGTTTGATATCATATATACAGGACATACTAGTTGAATAACACATTAACCAGCTAAGGAAATGGGCCTGCTTTGAATAAGCTATCATTAGTTTTTTGGAAATTACGGCCATCGTCAGGGTAGGTCAATGCAAGGGGTTAAATCTGGCAGCCATATTTGTTGACAAAATCGCTACAGGGGTCCAAATAATCACCAAATAAGAACAAAACTCTCTCAAATAGTCGGTGACATTAAATTTAACTGTACAAATACTAAAAAGATTTTAAAACTTTTTGTTTTAGTCTTGTTTAGCAGCTGTGTTTCTTTAGTTTTTTTTCATCAATTATTGTAACAATATTGGCAGTTTATTGCAACATCACAGTAACATTGCAGTGATAGTCCCCAAAAAAATGGCAAAAAGCAGCAAAATTTGATTCAACTTTAATTTATGTTCATTCATTAGCAGGTTTGTCTAGGGCCAAATGACCCATTAATATCAATGAAATGACGAGTTAGTTGAAATGAAGTGGTGGGAAACCCAATTTTTAGCACCTAACGAGTTGCTTAGACTCATGTATTTAAATAATTAACCAATTAGAAAGCCATTGCTGTCGCTGTCCTATTGCTGGCATCAAGGTTTTTTGTCCACTTTAGGCATCCTTGTTTGTGTTTTTAGTAGATTTTAAACCTATCCTTCCTTGTAGTATTTTATTAATACCCCTTGTGTATAAATTTGTCCGTAGCCCCTCTAACACAAAAATATCTCTATTTCTCCAAACTGGAAAATTATTCCTGCACTTTTTGAGCAGTACCTAGTAGGTTTAGATGGATTATTTATTCAGTCTCATATTGCTCGATCATCCCAAATATTCTCAATATCTTAATGTTGAGAACATTTGAGAGCCCATTTACTAGATACGGGGGTCTGTGAAATGACTGTACAACGTGAACTGAAAACCAAACGTTCTAAGCAAACTTACCTTTCTCAAATGAATATCGTTTTTTCCAAATCATTTCTAAATCCACATATCGATTTTTGCCTATTTCGGAATCAGCAATTACTACATAAATTGACGTGTTTTGACTTAAGCCTGACCTTTCTTTAATGCGTTGAAGCATTAAAAATTACGCTTGGTTCGTTATAAATGTTTTCATTTTTGATGCCCCTTGTACAAATAATTTTTGGTTTTTTCTACTACTTACTAGGTGATTTTCTCTTGAAACTTTTTTTTTCGTCAGACGTACAGTTTCTTTACAAAATATATTTACAATAGCTTGCAGATCATCATTTCTGTGAATAAATTATACAAATTCGTTTTTATCTGCAAATGTTTTGGATTATTGCTCAGAAACAATGCTTGTTTTAATTAATAATAAACAAACTATTTCGGACATTTGACAAACCAATCGTTTTTAATGTTCATGGTGCAGCGGGAATTTGAATCGGAGTTCACCGTAAACTTACTAAGTATTTTTTATTTCTCTAAAATGGAATATGATTCTATCGTTCAGAAAGTTGACATTCCGCTATATTAAAAATTAAAAAAAAACAATTAAATTGATTCTAGGTTTGAAATAGATACTATTTTATTTTTATTGCTCAGCAAGTTGGGGCAGTTGCGTTTGTAAGTGTTCAAGTAGTATTGTAGTGAAAATGAAGCTGGAGTATTTGGTGGGTCTTGTTAGGCAAACGGGATTTAGTATGGTCCAGTTGTGGGGATTATTGTTCCATTTTCTTTGTAATTGAAGTAGTCTCGTTTATTCCGGTTATTATTGTTCGTTTGTAGAATAGTTGGATTCAAGGATTGCATAAGTGGTTTTGGGGATGTCTTCTTTTTGTTATTGATTTAAGTGCAATTGGTTCTGTTCTTGGAATGTGTAGCTTAGCTTTTTAGATTTCATATGTTGAAATATATTTGGATTCCTTGCTATTATTGTTGGAGATTTGGTTTTGGTTTGGTTTGGTCTGTCAGTGTTTAAAGTTTCTCAACCAACAGCTTTTGCTGTTGTTTTGTCCTGTACGATCGGTGCCGTGTCGTCAGCGTACTGTAGAATGCAGGAGATTTTTATAGACGGGGTTATGGCTGAATTTATAGAATAGTTGTCTGTTTTCCAGTAGGTGCTTAATTGTGAAGAGTAGATATTTTGTTTGGTGTTAAGTAGGTGTAATTTGAAGAGCACTTTTTTATTGTTCGTTTTTGTTTAATTTGCAAGGCTAAACATTATAGGCAACACATCAACATAATACTCGCTTATCAACAGAGAAAGAACAACTGAAGGTGATCTCAGACACAGAAGAAACCCAGGCATCGAGTTAAGTACTCGGCTTGAAGGAATTACTGTTCAATTCTTAAACACCGTCTTATTATTTCTAAATGACTTGAACAGACAAGGCAAAAAGCCGAAGAACCATGGTGAAAGGCTAAATGAAATCAAGCCTTGAACTAGCTCATCAGAATGTAATAATTTAGAGTTTAGTGTATTAGCTTTTGTGTGCGATTGTGAATGATAACTTGGTCTGTTTTAGAAAAGAAAATGTCCAAAACATTGAAGTCAGAAGTTGCTTTACAAGAGGTAGGAATAGTTCAATTTAAAATAAAAACATAGCAGTAAGTTGCAATAGGACTAAATTTGAATTTGTGAATGCATTGAATGCATTTGAATTTGTGAACACATGTGAAGTGCATTTTCTCATCTCACTATTGCAAGAGAACGTTCATTCAGTACGATGGTTTGAGCCATCTGGTTACTATTCAGTTAAACATTGAGATACCTAAAAATGATAAACCAGTTAATTTACCTTTTGTGGAATAATTTTGATGACGGATTTGGAAATTTTTCAATTACGTGTTGATTTGTTGAAGATACGCGTTTTTTTTCTGTTTAATTTTTATTTGTTGTCCTACAATATCTTGACTGCTGATGCACATTTTTAGCATGTATTCTATAATATAGAGCGTTATAAGCTAGATATAGTAAAATCAGGTGGTCTTTGCGTTCAAAGCGATACGGCTCGTCTTGCCATCTTCATTTACTTCTATCGCGAAATAATCTGTACTGCAATATTTAGGAATGAGACATGGATAGAACAAAAGTAAAATGGTCAATTTACATAAAAATAAATAAAACAACCAACTACAGAATGTGGGTGTTTTTAGATTATATAATTTTGATCTTGTGCATGGAAAAAATTAGCTGTGGACATTTTCAGAAGGTGTGTTTGAAAGCAAATGTTGTTTTACAGCACATGATCCATGCAAATATTGTAAACTTTCCTATTGAAGCAATTTCTCTATTTTCTACGTTTATTTTAACTGAATACGCAAAACTCACGTAGTGAAACGCCTGAAAAATGAGTTTAAAAGCTTCTCAAGGAAAAATGTATTTTCGCAGCCCTCAAATACTTTTTACTGTAAAAGTATAAAACGGAATTCGAAACTAAAATTGGCACATTTCGAATTTTTCACTTCGGCTATGAATAATTTTTACTAATTACCAGAATCAGAAAACATGGAATTTTTAAGGCGGATTTAATTTTAACAACAAAAATTATACCAAATATCATCAAACAATAAATTAAAAACTGAAACGGTAACTTTACGTTTGGGATAGAAATTTAGAGTTTCAAGTCCAAATTTCGTCGTTCCAATTGGAATTAAGAGACTAAACTAATTAATCCAAGGTTGAAATAAATTTTAAAAATTATATGAATTTTTGTTTCATTTAGTCCTTTTTTCCATCAGCTTATCAAGTACAACTTCCAAACATATTTGAAGGCCAATTTTAAGCAAAAAATTAAACTTTGATCTGAAAAATTTGTCTTCGAAATTGTGAATGTTCGATGGTACAATTAAGATTCAGAACTGTGGCCTCTAATTCTAATGTAAGTGAAGAACATGAACTTTTCAAACATTAAAACAAAGAACATCAAATCAAATAAAAGTAAAATGCCTTGAAGATAACCAAACCTGAAATCTTACCTTTGAAGTAGACACACAGAAAGTTTTCTAATGCTTTATCCATTCTTTGAAAAAATCTTAAACCAGAAGCAATTTTGTCTAGAATTCAAAAATGTTTGGGTTTAATATGGAAAATTAGATTTTACGTAAGTATTTTTTAAAGTACTGAAAGTCGTGTTTAAAGTGTGGTGAATTTCGATTTTAAAGCGTGGTTTTCAAACTTACATTTTAAAATTAGACTTTTGAGATCAAAAGAGTTAAGTTCAGTCAAACTTTACCATTAATTGACACAGTCAGAACTAAAAATTACGATTACAAATTTTGATTTCGGTTTCAACTAAAAAAAAATGCTGATAAAAATGTGTATCGGAGCTTCTAAACTTTTGATAGCCTCTATGCTAATCGCGGTTTAGTTTTTTATTATAAATTAACTATAAGTTACCTACTTAATTTTTTTATCAAGGGTAGACACCTGTTAATTGTGTAATATCAAAACCACCTTGTGTACTGTGTATGAGTTCTTGGAACATCTGTTGACCTTAAGCATTTACGACATTTTAAACATTCCCAAATGATTAATATCAACGTGTTTGATTAACAATGTTATTTAAATAACATATATTTCATTTCAACCCGATTTCTCATTTCTTCGTGTAAGAAAAGTACTGCTTTATATTTGTTCATCTGGTGTTTTATTAAGAGATATTATTCCAGAGATTAGAGATATTAAGATGTTATAAGTAAAGAATGCAATTAATTTTCTAAAATTATTGTAGTTAACAGACTTTTTAGAAAATATACCCATGTTTCAATACAACTAAGAAGCAACATTTCTATATGAAGCATTAATTTTTTTTAATGAAAAATTAATTTGTGCTTACTATAGCTACGTGCTAACAGAATCCTGTTAATTGCGTGAATTAATGGTGTTTTACGTCACAATACTTATCAAGACTATCAAGATCAAGAAGGTATAAACTGGGACCAAGGCAGGTGCCTAAACCGTAAAAATATCTTAATTATCACTGCAACTCGGCGA